TAAATAATTAATTAAAGGCATGCCTATATACGTATATTATATATATCTTAAAATAGACACCAAATAGCTCTAAGAATTTCTGCTCCTTGTATCTATTTGTCAAGCAATATTTATACATATCTATTCATGTACTCCTTGATGGCTTGTCCAATTTGATTGTTCACACTTATCGATAAATTGATGGCCTGGCACTTTGTGCGCAACTACTTGGCCCACGCCACCCACTGTGTCGCACTTTCAGATTGTTTTCCATTAGAGGCTCGGCGGCCGCCGTCAGCAGTCCATCTCTGGCCGGATAGACCGGCCCGGTTTCAGGCTGTTTGCCGTGCGTCGTGAGAAATATTACACGCAATTTCCAAGTTGACATTCGGCGGCGTCTGGGCGGGGCAGGGAAACGGAAATGGCTGCGCGGCTGGCCGACATATTAAAAATGAATGACGACATTTCATTAGTGAGCGCAGAGAGAGTTGGTGAGGTTGATGGGGTGGTGAGGGGGTGTGGGTCGTTGTCGCTGTCGCTGTCGATAAGAAATGCAAAGTAATTTGCCACTGACACCGCGTGGCATCAATTTTAGTTGTGGCACCCGAAAGTAGGCAACAATTTGTAGATTGCTTGGCGCCTAACTTCTACTACTCAATTTATTTCGTTGCAGAGACGACACACAAGAAGCCAAAGCGACAAATAGAGAACGAGAGAGAAGGAGAAGGAGAAGGAGAAGCAGAAGAAGCCGAATAACGAGATATCTCATTAGACAAAGCTAAACTAAAGCCGCTTGCAAGCAACAATGGCGCACTCGAAAGTCATACTAAAGATTCTGTTCTCGCTCTGCGTTTGGTCCTTTGTGATCATTGGCCTGTTCAAGATGCACGGCACGAACCTGGTGCCGCAGGACTACCGCCAGGTGCCGCAGGAGTACCAGCAGCTGCCGCTCAACGGCCGCAGTCTGCTGCAGAAGGATATGTTGCGCTATGCGGAGACAACGTCCACCACCACGGATCACTTTGATCCCAGCGAGATACTCGTCGACAATCGCACAGGTGAGTGTTAGATCATGGCAACATTTGCTTACCCCGCCTAATCTCCCCATCCTCTTCTTCTTCTGCAGCCATGGACGATGATCAGCTGGTGCGCGACGTGGAGTCGAGGATACCATCGCTGCCAATTGCCTACTGGAGCAAGAACAAGAACTTTCTGCAGCAAAAGTCCGCCACGTGCGCCAAATATCCATCGATCTTTGAGCTGGAGTTCAACAACATCTATTGGCAAACGATGCACACCTCGAACGGGACATTTCAGCTATTCGGCGCCTACTATGACATTCGGCGCGCCTCGCTGCTGGGGCCGACCGTGCGCATTCTGGGCATGATCGATCGCATCGAGCCGAAGGTGAAGACCTACTGCCAGTTCTGGTTCGACGGCCAGAAGGAGCCGTTCATTGTGAAGACATTCGAGTACAAGTACATCTGGTACAACAAGTGGGGCAACTACAAGCAGGGCATCTATCAGCCGTACCTGATCGCTTGCCAGATACCCAAGCCCTTCCACGGCGTGGTGCCCAGCTCTGTGTCGATGGTGGAGAAGGAATGCGACACGGCCACCAACAATTTGCGCGTCATCTACAATCGGCCGCCCGACGATCACAAAAAGGGCTTCGCCGTCTGCGTCAAGGGCCTGGACTTTCTCTACGACGATCTGAGCGTGCGGCTGATTGAGTGGATCGAAATGCTGAACATCTTGGGCGCGGACAAAATCTACTTTTATAATCTGCAAGTGCATCCCAATATTACCAAGGTGCTCAGTCACTACGAGCAGGAGGGCAAGGTGCAAGTGATACCACTGACTCTGCCGGGCGGTCAGCCCAATGTGCCCGGCTTCCAGCATCTGTATCTGACGAAGAAGACCAACCACAAGCGACAGAACGAGGTCATTCCGTACAATGATTGCCTGTATAAGAACCTCTATTTGTACGACTATATAGCGCTGCTGGACATCGACGAAGTGATAATGCCCAAGGGCAATTCGATTCTCTGGTCCGAGCTGATGGACAAGGCGCGACCGGAGTCGCTCAAATTCAGGCCGGACGGCTATCATAGCTACAATTTTCGCAATGTCTACTTCCTGGACGATCAGCAGCACGAGCACGGCTGGCACAAGGACATACCCAAGTATATGCACATGCTGCAGCATGTGCACCGTGCCAAGAACTACACAAAGCCCAATCAGTATGTGAAGTGCTTCCACGATCCGGAGCGTGTGCTCACGCTGCATAATCACTTTCCGCTCAGCTGCCTGGGTGGCGTGTGCAAATCGTATCCGGTGGATACGGAGGATGCACAGCTGCAGCACTACCGGGCCGACTGTGTGAAGACGCTGAAGAAGAGCTGCGAGGAGTATCGCGAGAATTCGGTCGAGGACAAGACCATTTGGAAGTACAAGGACGAGCTAATCCGACGCACCATTAAGACGCTCGAGACGCTGGGCTTCTTCAGGCGTAGCGGCGGTCCTGGTTTTGGGGGCAGCAGCAGCGGACTGGGTGGTGGCGCCACAACGCATTCCACGGAGCGGTGATTCGCGCTGCTCGGCGGCTGGTCATGGCCCTGGCTGCCTGTGGCGCCCTACGTGGATCCGGCGGCAGCTGGAGCGATGGGCAACGAGGAGTTTTTTGTCTAGTGAGAAAGCAAATGCGAAAGAGACAGACAGAGAGAGAGTGAGAGATATAGGGAGAGTGAGTTCCTTGCCGCAATAGAAACCTTAAAAGCTACCGAGCCCGCATCTGAACTCAAATCCAAAACCAGAACCCGTCCCCCCTAGCCTAGCCTAGCCTAGAGCTCGATTTGTTCTTTTTGTGTATTATAGAAAAGTTTTTTATTTTCATTATTGTACTTCTTTTTACGAATAATTTGATAGTATTCTGTACTTCATAGTTGCCCCTGATACATATATAAATGTATGTTTCGTTAGTCTATATTATACAGTTATTTTTGATATATGTATGCCCTTATCAAGTACTTACATATGCCCTATCAAATAGCACACGTACATATAAATTCAAACACAATCGCGTTTGGCAAATGAAAAAAAAAAAAAAAAAAAAAAAAACAAAAAAAAAAGGAAAACACTTTTGAAATCGTGCCTTCAACTTTAAATTGTAGTGTATAGGGTTTTACCGCAGCGGCTCGCCACGACCTAAGCACTTGACTATATATATAAACACACACACACACACACACATACACACATGCATGTGTCCTATATGCTATCTTTATATATATCTACATATATGTATGTAGCTGCTTATTGGGAAGTGGCCCAACAAAAACACATCTATTTACTCCTTATTCACAAAAGACGTTACAAATCATAAGTCCAATGGCTAAATTGGTGACAAAATCACATTAGACAACAACAAAATAAGCATAAACAAAATATGTAATGAAAACTATGTTAAGTTCAAGACTGATGATGTTTATAAATAATTAGATACAATTGCGAGAAGCTTTTGAGAAAAACAGAAACAAACGAAAACCAATTATGAAGGGAATAACAAAATTATGTGGAATTGGAAAAATTTCGAAAATTGATTTCAAGCAAACATTTCAAATGATATTATGTATTAACTAACTAGTTAGTGTTTGTTAGTATCTGTACTTAGCCACAGAACATGAAATATCACTAAATGCTAAGCAAACATCTGAACAAAAACCTAAATTGTAAATAGTTTAATTGTTTTAAAAAATTTTCTATGTTAAAATGAAAGAAAAAGAAAAAA